GGGAAAGTGCCCGGCCGGGGGCGCAGGGTCCGGAGGCATAGGGGCTGCCCAAAGCCCGAGCGCTACCGGCTTCATGGGTTTGCTGGGCAGCCCCCCAGACCCTGCGCCCCCGGCCAGCGCTTCCCCAGCGCAGCTGGAGACCAGGAGGGGAAGCGCCCAGCTAGGGGCGCAGGGTCTGGAGGCTGCCCAGCAAACCGTGAAGCCGGTAGCGCTCGGGCTTTGGGCAGCCCCTATGCCTCCGGACCCTGCGCCCCCAGCCGGGCACTTTCCCTCCCGGGCTCCGGCGGCGCAGGGTCTGGAGGCACGGGGGCTGCCTGAAGCCCATAGCGCTCGGGCAGCCCGGCTCTTAAACAGAGCCAAAGAGTCGGGGAGGAGCAGAGCCGCCATTTTCCCAGACATGTTTGGCTTTTTGGCAATTCCCCCCGGACGGGGGTTTGACTGCCAAAAAGCCGGACATGTCCGGGAAAAAGCGAACGTATGGTAACCCTATGCTAAACCCTCCTGAGGCGCAGTGATCAGATCCCAGAGCAATAGATAAATCCCACCCCTGACAGTCTCACAGCCCCCCCCCCCCCCGCCCCAGACTATTGGGGATACAGCAGGGCTCACATTCACCACAAACAGCCGCCCTCTGCGCTAACACACGCTGTCTGTGCAGGTGGGGGAGTCAATAGCGCTACGGGACCCTGCACTGCCGAGGTCACTAACTGGTGGGTTTCACACGGTGTTAATGGCAGTGTCTGTGCTGCATTCTACAGCTCATTTCAGTGACATGCCAGCACTTGCCAGCCCGGCCCTGGGCACGACCCGGGGCTGCAGGAAGGCCAGGCTGGTACCTCAGGGCGACACGCTGCAGGCAGAGGGCCCAGCTCATCACTGCCCTGCACCTTCTCCTGTCAATCACCCCCACTCTGCACGGGGGTTTCAGTGACTGTGCCTGGGGCCCGGCAGTAGTGACTTAGACCCCAAGTGACTCAGAGATTTGCTGGGGGAACTAATTTCAGTCCTGACAAAGAGCGTGCCCAGGTGCAGGAGTCTGGGAGGGAGCAAGAGGAGGGTCGTGGAGGAACATCCCCCAGGAATCCTCTGTTCCGGGGCAGAAGCCAGACAGGCCGGGAGGAAAGACCGTGTCTGTGGTGGCTCCAAGGGGAATGGGATGTGCAGAGAGGGGGGAGGGAGGGCTGAGAACTCACCTGCTTGGACAATAACCGCGCTGATGAGACCCAAGGACACAACTGTGAGGGCGACTGCGAGGGCGATTATATTTTTCTTGCGGTTATGACGAGGTTCTGAAACACAAAGACCCGTCAGGCCGGGCCGCGAGGACACGTCTCACTGACAGCACCAGGGCTGGAGCTGCCCTAGAACATGCACCGTTCTTTTGATTGCTCCTCCCGTCAGACGCTCTGGGAGAGGAGGCCGGAGGGTCAGGCAGGCTGGGGCTGGCAGAACAGTCCCTCCTTCCCCTCAGTCCAGTGCCCTCCCTAGGCACCCCCAGCCAGGCTGTCACGGGGCCTGGTGAGCTCAGGGGCACAGAGACAAGGACTCACGTGTTCAGGGGACAGGAGCTCAAGCTGCCCCCCTCATCCCCACCCCCGCTCTGCCCCCTGCAGAGCGCTGGTTGGGCCCACACTGCCGAGTGCACCTGTCCCTGCACACTGGGGTCTCACACTGGCCACACACAGCAGAAGGGGGAGAAGGAACCAGGCAGAGCTGGGCCAGGGCTGTCACAGGGGGTCTGACACACCCAGCCCAGGAGGGCCCTGCACAGCCCCACGGCCACTGCCAAGCGCACCAGACAGCAGCTGTGAGCCAGGGATCGGTGCCCTGAGAGCCCCTGGGGGAGATCCAGCCCCTGCTGCCCACAGGGGGGGTTGCTGGGCACTGGCTGCTGCCACTGAAAACATGGCCCCATGTGGGGCAGCCTCAGTGTCTCTCTCCAGCCTGTTCCCAGGCAGCGACGCCCCATTACCTGGCTTCCCGCCACTCTTCTGGTGTCCACCGCTATTAACACTCCCCCGCAGTGCCTGTTGGCTCTCACTGTCCTGAGCTGCTGACTCCATTGTCTCTGAGCGACACTCAGGCTACAGACGCTGCTGCAGGCGCTGGGCTGGGGTCGGCTCCTCTCTGTGTGACTGGGTCCAATTCAGCAGCAACGAAGCCGAGCCGGGGCGGAGGTCCTGGCCCCGGCTCCCTCCCTGCTCCGGACTCTCCAAACGATCTGAAAGTCAAGATGGACCCAGCAGGAGAGGACAGGGTTGGGGGGTGATTTGTGGTTTCTCGTTCCCTGCCCAGCAGCCCAAACCCCTGTCAGAGACGGTGCCATGAAGTTTAAACCCCCTTAAGTCCCCATTGGCTCCTCCACGAGCTTCAGAGAAATGATCTGCTATGGAACCCACCCATCTGGAAGGCGGGGGGAAGAGATCGGGTTGCCAGGTGACTGGTTTGCCCGGTCGAAAAGGGACCCTGGTGGCAAAAATCCAATTGGCCGCAGCAGCCAGCCCCATGCAGCTCCAGGAGCCGGCGATATGTCCCTCCGGCTCCGAGGCACAGCAGCAGCCCGGGAGGCTCCTCGCGCTACCCCTACCTGTGGGCACAGGCACCACCCCGAGCGCTGGCTCCACAACTCACATTGACCAGGAACCACAACCAATGGGAGCAGTGGGGGCGGCGCCTGCAGACAGGGGCAGCGCACAGAGCCCCCCTGGCTGCCCCTGCATCTAGGAGCCAGAGGGACAAGTCGCTGCTTCCCGGGGAGCCACCTGAGGTCAGTTGCTCCCACAGCTCAAACCCCAACCCCCCCCCGCACCCCAACCCCCATCCCTGAGCCCCCTCCTGCACCCCAAACCCATCACCAGCCCCATCCCTGAGCCCGCACCCCCAGCCAGAGCCCTCACACCCCCATACCCCAATCCCCAGCCCTGAGCCCGCATCCTGCGGCCTCTCCCACACCCCAACCTGTCCCAGACCAGAGCTCCCTTATTCCCAGACCGCATCCCCAGCCAGAGCCCTCACCCCTCCACACCCCAATCCCCTGCCCCAGCCCTGCAGCCTCTCCCACACCCTGCAGCCTCTCCCACACCCCAACCCATCCCAGACCAGAGCTCCCTCATTCCCAGCCCGCACCCCCACCTAGAGCCTGCACCCCAACCCCAACCCAAGTCCTGAGCCCCCTTCCACACTCTGAACCCTCAGCAGCAGCCCTGAGCCCCATCCTTCACCCCAAACCCCTCATTCCCAGCCCCACCCAGAGCCTGCACCCCCAGCCAGACCCCTCACCCCCCCAACCCCACCCCAACCCACTGTCCCAGCCCGGTGAAAAGGAGTGAGGAGGAGGGAGTGAGCAGGGGGCGGGGCCTTGGGGAAGGGGCGGGGCAAGCCGGCAGGGATGTTCTGTTTTCTTCCATTAATTGGCAACTCTAGAAAGAGATGAGCCCCCCTAGAATTAGGAGCGAGCAGAGTAAAGGGGGCAGCCGCCCAGCAAGCACTGGAGGGAGGGAACTGCGGTGCCCAGCCCCGGGGTGTTTCCCATCACGGCACACGACGGGACGAGGGGATCACTGCCCAGCCACCCCAACACACAGGTGGGGGGGGGACAGATCTCACTGCCCAGCCATCCCCACGCAGGCAGGGGCAGAGGTTTCACTGCCCAGCCACCAGGGCCGGCTCCAGGGTTTTGGCCACCCCAAGCAGCCAAAAAAAAAAAAGGCCGCGATCGCGATTTGCGGCGGCAATTCAGCCGGGGGTCCTTCGCTCCGAGGCGGAGTGAGGGACCGTCCGCTGAATTGCCACCGAATACCCGGACGTGCCACCCCTCTCCGGAGCGGCTGCCCCAAGCACCTGCTTGACAAGCTGGTGCCTGGAGCCGGCCCTGCCAGCCACCCCAACGCACAGGTGGGGTGGGGGGGTGGAGGCCTCACTGCCCAGCTACCCCAACAAAAATGATTAGGGGGCTGGAGCACATGACTTATGAGGAGAGGCTGAGGGAACTGGGATTGTTTAGTCTGCAGAAGAGAAGGGGGGCGGGATTTGATAGCAGCTTTCAGCTACCTGAAGGGGGGTTCCAAAGAGGATGGAGCTCGGCTGTTCTCAGTGGTGGCAGATGACAGAACAAGGAGCAATGGTCTCAAGTTGCAGTGGGGGAGGTCCAGGTTGGATATTAGGAAACACGATGTCACTAGGAGGGTGGTGAAGCACTGGAATGGGTTCCCAAGGGAGGTGGTGGAATCTTCCTTAGAGGTTTTTAAGGCCCGGCTTGACAAAGCCCTGGCTGGGATGATTTACTTGGGGATTGGTCCTAGCTTTGAGCAGGGGGTGGGACTAGAACCTCCGGAGGTCCCTTCCAACCCGGAGATTCTATGATTAGGGCCCAGACACCCCAACACACGTGGGGGGCAGGTAGGGGCCTCGCCACCACACAGGGGTCTCCCTGCCCAGCCACCCCCACACGCGGGGGGGACCTCGGGCACTGCGGCGCCTCCGCTTCACAAGCGGTTCTTAGCCCCGCGCCAGAACGTGTCTAACGGCGGCTTCCCGGGACTCTGCCCCGCGCGGTCCTGCGGTCCCTCCGGCCAGGGCCGGCCTCGAACCGGCGCCTCTTACCCGATGTCCCGCGGGCTCCGGGCGGGCAGCAGCTGCTGTCAGGCGATGCTTTTATACTGGGCTGGTCCCCGGTGCGCGGCGCGGGCGGGGCTGCACGACGGGCCGGGCGGGGACGCTTTGATGTCCAGCGATCGCCCCCCGGAGGTTGCGGTCCCGAGACGGAGACTCCGCTCGGTCTCCACCGACCCCGTCCGCGGCGCGGTGCAGGCTCCGCTCCGCTGCGCCCGCATCTCTCGGCCCGC